CCCCCCCCCCCCCGGTGGTGTTTCCTGTTTGAAGCTGGTGGGTTAAAGAGAGCTCGGCATGCGAGTCCTGGTGCGGCTGCGTGGCATTATCCCTCGAAAACGGACCCGGTCCGGGTAGGGTCGAGGTTCCTCCGACACGTGCCACCGGCTGCTGATCACGGGCGTTGCTCGCCCTCCCCGAGGTGCCGGCTTCCGGCGGTTCTACACATGTTCTGGGCGTGTTCTGCGGCCGAGTCCGTTGGGGGACCGGTGCGGGTGTCGTTTAAACTAGAGCTACCCATGCCGCGTCTTCCTCGGCTGGGGAGAACCGGCACTCGATCTCCGGCTTTCCCGGCCATCCCCTACGATGGTCCTTTCCACCGAAGGGGAAAGGAGCCGGATGGCCTTCTTTGCCTGGATCTTGGGTTAGATCCCCCCCCCCCCCCCCCCCCTACCTTCGCATCATGAGGCCGCCCTCTCTGTCGTCGATCCGCCCAAAGAGGGAGCTTGGCCCTGCCCCGGGCAGGATCCTTCCCATGAAAGTCGAGTCCATCGCTCTGCCCCCGACACATCTCCCCCCTCTCGCCCCCTCTTGCCCGCCGCCCCTTTCCTGCCTGCCTGCCTCACGTGCCTCCCTGTGCCTTGCCGCCCGAGGCTCCCTCACCGGCCATGGTCTCGCCGCAAGGCCCCCTCTCGTTGGAGGAGTTGGCGATGGCCTTCCGCCAGGAAGCCGATCGGGCGGTTGTCTCGCTAAATGAGCATGCGCTCCATGACTCGGCCAGATGGTGCGCCGAGCGACACTCGGCGCCGGCTTCCCCCACACTCCGACACTATGGCTGACCCTTCTGCTCCTCCCCCTCCCACCTGCTGCAGGCTGTCCGACCTGGTTGGCTGTCTGGCACCAGGCACTGCCCTCCTGTCGGAGGCGGTGCACCTGGCTGCCAGTGGGGCGCGGCCGATCGGCCACCCGGGCTGTCCCATGCAAATGAGCACTCCGCTTGCCGCTCGCGCACGCACACAGCTCCGGAACACACTGCACGAGGGCCATGCCTTCCTGCGGGCCTCCTACCAGGCGGGCCACGGCCCGGCCGACCGGCGCTCTTCCGGCCCGGGCTTGGCCACGGCCCGGCCAAGGGACCTTGGAAACGCCTTTGCCGGGCTTTATGCCCGGTGGCTGGACGCCGACCGCCGGCGGCAGGATGCCACCGTTCGACTGTATGCCAATCGCTTTGGCACCGGGGCAACGACACTTCAGCCGCCGGCCCCCCGGCCGCCGGCGCGTTTCACCATGCGCCGTGGGGTGGGCTCCATTGATAGTACGCCTCGTTGCGCGGCAAATCCCACCCGCGTGCCGTCTCCCGCTTCGCCTTGTCCTCCTGCTCCCCCCACGGATGCAAGACAGCATCGGTCCTCCTGCCCGCTGTCTCCGATTGACCGATTTGTCGCCGGCGCTCAGCCGCCTTTTTCAATTCGGTCGACGAGATCTCGCGCGATTTGGTCGTCCTGCTGATGGCCGAGCTGGCCCAGGCCGAGGGCCGCACTTTGGAGCACCCTGGATCGGCTTCCGCCGAGCCTTTGCGCGCCTGCCTCGCCTGGCTGGGCGCTCCGCCGGGCGATCGGCCCGTGACGGCACTGCTCCGCCGGGTCGGCCGATTGCCAGGCGGCCTCGCAGCCATGAGCGGCCTCGCGCGGCTCTTTTGGCTGGCAGCGGTTATGCTACTTGAGAAGAGCCGCGCAGCTGGAACCCTTCCGGTCCCGGGGGCTCGGCGGCCGCCCTTCTTCCTGTTGGCCCTGGCGTCGGCCGTCTTGGATCCACTGCACTGGGGCGCGTGGCTGGTCTTGTCGCACTTTGTGGCCACCGTGGAGCAAGTGCGCATGGGGTCCGCCCAGGGAACCCCCTTCTTGTTTGCCCCCCTCCCC